CTCTATTTAGCTGATAGATGGACTTTGGCAGAACCATTTTCCATCCAGATGTTAGATAAACTATGACATAACCATTTTCTATTTGGCTGACAGATGGCCTATGGCAGAACTACTCTCCATCCAGATGATAGACAAACTATGGTATAACCATTTTCTATTTGCCCGACAGATGGCCTATGTCAGAACTACTCTCCATCCAGATGATAGACAAACTATGGTAAAACCAGTTTCTATTCAGCTGATAGATGGACTATGATATAACCATTTTCTAAATAGCTGACAGATGGACTAAGGCAGAACTACTTTCCATCCAAATATTCGATGGACTATGGTGTAACCACTCTCCATAAACAGACTAGATATATATAGACTATGGTAGATCACATAATGACTGAAAAGTGTAGGAATTGCAGTGCAGTTTTGATATATTACATAGAACACTGCAGTAATCCCTTGATTTGACAACACTGTGAACATCATGGCATGCTTGAACCCATCACCATGTATAATGTAAATTGATTTAAATTGCATACTTAAACCATCCCCAGGACTGAAATCTGTTTAAAGGAGTTATTGAAAGAACATTATTAGTAGTAAAAATAAACATAATCATATCATTAGAAACAGCTAAAAATTAAATAATATAAAATATACATAAAATACAATTTCTAGAACATATTAGGTGAATTAAAGGGCAGTGGTTGTCATATCCTGTTCGATATTAAACCCATAAAAATACATGTTTTTTACATGAAATTTAAACACCCAGTGCATGACGACCATTGCCCTTTAATATTAAATTGCATAGCAATTGTAAAGGCAGTTGCAATATACAGATATATTAATTGTAAGCTACTTGAATCTTGTTGAAGAGCACAAGTACTGAGTTGGGGCTGCTAACTTACACTACATTGTAGGTATAATATTTTGTGTTTTGAATTGCAGTGAAGGTTTACACACCGTTACTTACCTAGAGCTCTTATGCTTAAATAATAAGTAAACTCTTTATATCAACATTATTTGAGTATCAAAAGTTAATCTGTGTTAGGGAAATGGGTATTAAGCCCCTATTCGGATTATATAATGGACCTAAAACGTTAACGTAATCAGCATACAGGCAACACACCACTGACGAGAAGTCCCGTAAACCTGCATATTCTATTGTTTTGCAATTGAAACCCAGGCTGTCCAATTTTAGTTTACATAAATATTATAGTACTGATTCTATGTCAAATTTATAATGATTACATCAACATTAGTCATGATTTCCTTTACAACCTGGTTAGATTCAAGGGCAAGAAAGAAAAAAGGTAAAATTCCCAGATAAATAAACATTTGTCAAACACTATCATAAAACAAGCAGCCTATCGGCT